ATGCAGAGTTGCTCTCGCAAGCGCACTTGCAGGCGCAGGTGTTCTGTGTCTCTGTCCGCTTGGCAGCATGCTCCTGTAGACAGAAAGCATTCGGAGCATAGTGTTTCAAGCGAGAGCTATGTCAAGCCATCAGCAATGAAATCGTGCGCCTCTTACCTGCGGACTTCCGCCCTTTGTTACCCCGCCCGAAGCTGGCGTCACACCTTCGCAACAACGATGGACTGTGTAGTTGCGCTTTCCAGTTTTCCGGCAACAGCTGCAGATGGGGCATAAGCCATCCGTTAGCAGAGGCTGGGCTTGGGCTTGGGGGTTCTCTTCGACCTAAGTGCATTGGTTCAAAGCAAGCATTCAACCTCTGCCCTCTTGATTTGCGGTCCCCATCGTCAGTGAAGGCCAGCACGAGCTGAGTGTGCAGAGTCGGTTGCCATGTCCGTGGTAGGCTAACACAAACATCTTGACAAACTTTGCGTGCAAATCCGTTCTTCTGAAGCTGGCCTGGCTTTGAGATAATTCTATGGCACGCGAGCTTCAGAAGAACCACTCCACGGAACGACAAGTTGGTCCAGTTAACTGGCGCAGTGGATAAATCACATAATATTGTGTGGGAAAGAAGCGCCTTTCACCATGGCCATTGGGACGCTTCAACTGCAATCGTGGACTCTGCCTGCTCTTCGGGAAGCCATATTGAGACGTTTATTTTGCTGTCTGGGTAGATGCCAGCCAAAAGCACACGACGCAATGCTTTTACAGGGTCCAAGCAGCTGATGCGGGGCAAATCAGCATTGTGGCAAGCTAGGCTGACAGACATTCAACTTACCATGGATTACCTGTCGGGCATCGCCACCGGCGACAGCACCCATGTGTGCGAATGTTGCAACACGCACTACGCAATCAGGGACAACTACCGCAGTCAGGAAAAGTTCTTGTAGTGGCCGTCATGGACCTGTGATCCGAATTTCGCTTCACCTTCCTGTCAAATACACAGCTACGCTGTGGCACACCTACCAGGCCGCACGACCACGCAACCAACTAATGCTGCCAACTTGTTGAAGCATCTTTTCCGCGCCCGGACCTTTTTGGAGACAATGAGGTAGAGCAACAAAGCGAGCTTCGCTGCTGTCCAGCATTCCATTCTTTGGCCATTGGGCTGACATGAGCAGTAATGTCGAAAGAAGTGGAGTGCGGTCCGCGATGATTTCCTTCCACAGGCAGAAATCCTGTGTATCCTGTTTTTTGCATACTGTAGATGGAGTTGCTGAATTGGGACTTGTGCAACAGATCTCACTTGTGTTTCAATTATTCAGCCCTTGTAGCTGAGAGGATGTAAATTTACATGTTGCACACTGCTGTGGGCCATGTGGCGGTCATGATGCGAACACTCGCCAAAAAGTGCAACACTCATTGTTTCTGGACTGCCTAGCAGTGAAAACACGACAGCCGTGATGCTTGGTGTGTAATCATATCCGGAGCCATGCTTAGAAGAAGCCGCAGTGGAGATTAGGAGGGTTTTGGGCATCGGGAGCTGGAGCGGTGCAGGCAAAGAAGCTGTGGGATAGTAAAAGCACATCAGGTCCGTTGTGGATCGTTTTCTCTTTGTGGTGGTTGGAGGCCATGCTGAGGGCTCCTGTGCGTTTGCTTATCCTAACAATCCTAACGGCATCAGTGTCGTGCCGTGCGAGGCCCTGCCGCGCATTTCCCAAGGATTCTGCGGAGCCGAGATTCCCCGACGAAGGCGATTGCTTTAACTGCGGGTGCATGGCCATATTCGCTCCTGATCCACTTAGGTGGTTCTGCAGAAGTTTCTTCAAGCAGGGTCTGAGTCAGCAATGCCAGCCTGGGCACGAAACCACACGAGAAATCGCAAGTTTTTTCAGCAAAAAAGAGTCACAATCTGAGCTCCTGGTCGCCTCGCGGAGCCATGGCTGTGCTTCGCCTCGTGATGGCGATGGCATTCCCTTCCCATGCTTGGGCGCTGATCGACGTTCTTCTCAAGCCGGCCTCGCGGCAACTTCCAGAAGGCACCAGCGGCACCGGGCCCGGGGCCCTGGGAAGTGATGGGCGTGAAACCCGTCGCAGGACACGTGGCTCGATGGAGCTGGCAGGCGCAACTGCACAGTTATCCGAGTTCGTCCACCAACTCAGGCTTCTACCTTCTACCCAGAAGCATATAGCATGGAACTGCATTCATTTTTCACCGATGGCAGGCACCGGGTGCTGTTCAGTTCAATGTCACGTCGAAGGCACAGACAAGCTGCTTCAGGGATTCCTGTCTGAAACTGTGCCGTGCGCAGTGACAGGAACGAGCGCTGCTGGATTTCTACGTGGTTTCAGGATCCCGGGCAGAGCTGCGCTGGCAGCGATGGATCCAAGAGGCTGGGTGCGCTTCTGTGCTCGCCTCTGTGGCCCGTCGTGGGCAGATGTGCAGATCCTTCAGGTGGAGCCTGTTTGCAAGCAGTGCCCTGACTTCCACCTCTACCAGCCACTGGGAGGGAACGAGACGTTGCTCATTGTCAGCAACAAGGACGGCCATTTCTCTCAGCGTAGGTACATAGACAATGGTAGGCCCCGGTACTTCACAAGAATGCAAGGGATGTGGCAGGACGGGCAAGTGGGTGTGCAGTTGGAGTTCGTGGAGGCACTGTTCGGCGTCGAGTCCTGCATGGAGGAGTGCTTCCTGAAGCCGACGGATTTCGTAGCTGCAGCAGTGGCGGCAGCTTCGCCGCCCGGTCGAATTCGTGGGTGCCTGGCAAGGTTGTCACCCATAATTGTGTTGAGCCGAGGCTCTTGTGCGGCGGCTTCCTCCTCAGCCGATCCCTGGCCCGAGATGAGCGCGAGGGGTCTGGTGAAGGCACCGGGGATGCCCGGCCATGGGATGAAGCCTGGGCACCGCAGCTGCTACAGTGCAAGAGGCCGCCAAAGCCTACTGAGGACGGCTGCTGAAATCTGTAAGTAACTTAGGGACTTTTTAGTGGTTTCTTCGGACAGTGGGCGGGTATTCGTAGCTGCACTCAACTGGCCCTGGAGTCGTGGAGAGCCTGGATTCTGCACTCCTGCATCGTGACCTACCCGTGGAATCCCTGGTGCAAAGATCCCCTGACCTTCGGCTTCCGTTGCCTCGCCATTCGCCGGCAGAGAGAGGTTGGATACTGTACTAGTAGTGTCTTGTCACAGCTCTTCTGGTGCTGAAAGGTCCTGGTCGTCAGCTGGGGGTTGACGCTCTTCGTGTCCACGCTGTATGGCGATGTTTTTGGCGAATGGGACCGAAGCAGCGTGAGGGTGGGCGCGGGGTCTCTGGCGGACAATGGCTCCGGAGATGGGGAGACCCCGAGCATGGCAGGCCGCTGTTGGCAGCAGTAGCCGGTAGGGGCCAAAGTCCAGTGATGCCCCGTGCGTGCTTGAATTATGGCAGATTCTGGTGGCAGGTGTCATGCTGATCTCCAGTCTTTCCATGCTCATGGAGACGGTTTTGCGGATCCTCGCGCTAAGCATCTTCCGTTGCAGCTTAGCGGCCTCGCGTGTCCAGCGCAGATGGAGAACCAAGGCCTGTTGGGATCCAGGAGAACTCATGAGCACAGACTGACTGGACCGTGCTGCATGTACAGTATGGAAGACTACTACCACCTAGACCTGGTCGTAGCACAGCTACAGGAATGTTCTCTGTCCCATGTGTTCCAGGCGAGTTCGCTGTCTCTCGCTGTTGCTGTCGTTGCTGCCTGTGTAATCTACCCACTGACGGACGTCCTCTCCAAGCATCGCTGCGGCTTCCCAGCTGTGTGAAAGTCGGACTTTGGAGGCCTTTGATCCTCGCGCGTGCACGCCTCGCCCTCTTTCTGAGGCTACGTGCAGCACCTCTTCTTGCAGTTCTTGGTGTCAGAGTCTGTCCGCGGGCTGCCTCTGGCAGCAGTTGTCGCTTCCATGCAGTATGGCTTACTCAAGGCTCGTGGGCACTGGGATTCATGAAGCCCCTACTTGTAGCAGTAGCAGCCCTAGCAACCAGCACCAGAACGAAGGCCTTCGGAGGCAGGACCAACCAGAGCGAGCTGGCATTGTCGGAGCTGAGTTTTGATGCCTCCTGAGCAGATGACTTCCTTGTATACACTTCGAAGCATCCCTGCCTACCCAAGAACGGGCGCTTCGGCCGTTCATGGGCCTCCAGGCTATGAAACGATATGAAAAGCTATTGGCGCGGTAGACGTTTCGCGGAAGCACTCGGCCAAGCGCAGGCTTGTAATTATGCTCCAATTCGCTGGAGCACTTGCGCTGCGTGTAGGCTTGTAATTGCGCTTTGATTCGGCCGTCCTTTTTTGCAGAATCTGCAAGTAGATCGTGCACTGTGTGTGCCCACCAAAATTTATTGTCGCGACGCGAAGAATCACAAAAAAAGAGTGAAGCACGAGAACTAGCTGAGCGTTCCTGGTGGAGCTCCGTTTGCATGCGGTTTTGCCGAAGCCTGCTTCCGTCGATGCTTGGTCAGTATCCGGCGGCTTGTTGGTCGATAAGCTTCTTCGAGCGAGTCAAAAGCCGTCGGATCTATGGTTATTTAATTATGAACTTTAGCATCTTAATCTCAGTTTGTCGTACTGTGAAGGCTCGGGTGCCAGAGACGAGCGCGAGGCAATCGAGGAGAGGATTGGCATGGCATCGTGTCGTCATGCGCACAGCCGGTGAGGTCAGCTGTGGCTGGATGTGCGACAGAGCCAGGGGGTCCGTCGCCAGAGCTCAGCTTTCCTTGAATTGAGAGAGAGAGGCGAGGGTTCCTCCAACTCTGTATGGTCTTTCTTTCCGCCGCCGTGAAAGGATCAAACCCCAAAAGGGGCCCGGGAGAGCCGGAGAGCTCAACCTGTAGCCCCCGAGCGGCCCGCATAAAATCTGGCGGGCTGCGTGCCGGGCCCTGACGAGGGCTCGAAATGTTTTCAAGAGTAGAGTGCCATGAGCCTATGTAGCAACGTGTAGTCTTGTGTGCGCTCAAGGTTTGTTGTGCTGCGCCGAGGTAACATAGCATGTCTACCCTGCAGAGTCAGGGGTCGAGATCTGGTGCGCAAAGCGCCCGGGGTCCCACCCCAAAGCGGATACCCCTGTCCGGCTATGGCTGCTGCCTCAGCCGGGCCTTGCATTTGGCAGTCATTGACCATCTCTGCTTCCATGCTGCCACGATGCCAGCTCAGGCGCACCTCTTAGCGCTAGGCCAGGTGGAAATTCAGGGGAGCAAGGGCATCCAACAACGAAAAGGGCTTTCTTGTTAACTGTTGAGTAGTGCCTGGATCAGGGGTACCTCCAGCGACAGAGTTCCACCTTCAAAGATGTTGCAGCTGGGAAGTAGAAGCTCGGCCGAAGAGGACCGGAGACTTGAGCAGCGCTTAGCAAGCCACGATGCAAGGCACCCTGGCCCCGGCGTCATCGTCATCCTGCTTGAAGCGAAAGCCGAGCGAGGCTGACTCGTAGATAAACCTTGTAGCTAAACTATGACAAACTTCAGGCCTTACCTGGGGGCGAGAGTCAGAGTGGTGTATGATATCAGGTTGTAGCCAAGTGGCTCAGGTCATCGCGGCAGCGCGGCAGCCGGGCGGCCTCACGGCTCCATCTCGCAGTCAGCTGGACTGCAGGGCACGAGAAGCCGAGTAGCTGGAGAGTTTTGGAGGTTCCTTTGCACAACCTTGGAGGACAACATGACGTGCCGGATAGTGGCTTTTCAGGATATGGGAGACTACACCCACCAGGCCTTATGCTTATCTACGGGATGCTTCCGAAAGGTTTCATGCCAGAGAGTGCAGTGCCCGCAGGTGGATTCGGTCGTCCCGGTGGAAGAGCCACTTTTCAAGGCAACTCCGCCGGAGATCCGGTTCGCAAACTTTGCCGCTTGGTCCAGCGCTGCCTACAGAGATGCAGTGGAAAGCCATCCCATTCGCAAAACAACCTGTGTGTTGCCGAGGAAAGCTTGCAGAACCTGGACGCCACCCTTTGCTTGCGCAATCAAGACAATGTGGCCAGAAGGGTTTCCTACCCAACTGCTCAGCAGTAACTAATGATTTCTGTCAAGCCACGAAAACTCGGGAGAACGCTGCTTCTCAAGGTCAAGATCCTGCATCTCGGTAGCATGGAAGAAGCAGGGTTCAACTGTGCCCGCCTGCGTGCGACCTAAGGCAACCAGATAGCACCTTCTTCAAGGTTTTGCCTGGCAAAGGCCGCAAAATCAACGGAGATGGCGACAACAAGGTCAGAGCGAAGGAAGGAGAGACAAGCAGCGGGAGCGTCAGTGCGTTTTCCTTGGCAGGTCGCACCAGGGATGGAGGTTTCGTACACGGTGCCTTGCTTGCACCCAAATCATGCATGTGGGTGTCACGAGCGAATGGTTGCGCATGACGTGGGTAAGGTACGCTTCACCCCGGATCAGCAGGCGCTTTTGCAAGATGTGCTTTGCTCGTCTTTGGACCTCTTTAAGCCTGAGAGGTTGAGGACTACTCCTACGACCTCGTCGTTGTGACAGAGCTTCTTGTCTTGGAAGAGAGGAAGAGAGTCAGAGTCTCCTTTGAGATGTCGGGCTCCGGTTCTTCTCTGAGGCGGGAGCGCTTCATCGTTCCCATCCGAGCGAGCGGGTGTAGCGCCTTGCTCGACATGCCTGACGAGCTGGACTTCGGCGTGTCGCCAGTGAAGTTTGAGTCGCCGAAGACCATCATGGCTGGGGCCCCGGCATTTGCACTTGTTCTGACCAAACTGGGTGTTCACTCGCGGCATCAGGTCCGGAACGTGGGCGAAAAGGCCACCAAGTTCCTGCTGAAGGTCGATCACTAAAGCCCCGTTGGACAGTGTGGACCGATGCCTGAGTCGAGGTGCCACCACCTTTCAGCACATCAATCCAGGATGGGTACTTAGAGGTTGGCGAGATTATGCAGGCGGGTTTGCAAGGGACAGCTGCAAGTCCGTTATCGCATACATGTTTGCAGGTGGACGTTGTGTTCAGACCTGACAAAGCTGAGCAGTACGAGCCCAGCCCCCACAAGCGGTGCCCGTTTGCGCCGCACTGATGCTTCTGAACGTGAAAGATGCTTGTGTGCCCAGGCGGGACTTGCTCATCCTTTATGGCGATGGAATTGAGGCTTATATGGCCCTGAAGGGGAAAGCAGAGCAGCTCCCTTGCAAGCACGTGCAATTCGAGTGGAAGAGAGTCCTGAGAGCGCACTTCAACCCCTCCTCCAAAAAAAGGAGAGTCCTGAGAGTGTGTCATGCTGCAATATGCTGCAAACCACCTACACCCGTAGTTTGCTTCAGGAACGTGTCTGTGACCTTCTCGGCCGCCCGGCTTTTTGCACGGGAGGTGTAGTATTGTAGCACTGCAACCACGTTCTATCTGCCACTATGCTGCCAACCGAGGCCAACCAGCTTCAGATGGAAGATACTTTTATTGTGCCTCGTTTTCGCCCTGAGACAGCGAGTGCGGGATGCCTTGTTAAGGTCCCATTCAACTGCATGCAGTTATCACCTGTGGGCTGAGGCGCTTTCAACCCAGAAGACAATTGTCATCCACAACAATTCGGAGATCCCTGTGGACTTTAGCTGGCGTGCTTTCCCTTCTATACAGGAGGACTTCGGTAGGCCAACAGTTGGCGACTTGAGTAAAGCCGGCTCGCACCTCTGTTCTGGCCGCAGGAGATTGGCCAGAAGCTCAAGCTCCAGGCTCGAGAACACCAGTTCAGGTGTCCCTAAGAGCATCAGGGCTCTTTGCACCAAGAGTGCACAGCGCAGGTCCAGCTCAAGCAGGAGGAGAGTGACGAGGCTGCAGCGCTGCAGGAGTTGAGCTCGATGGGCCACTCGGATTTTTATTCTTCTTCGCTTTTTTTTTTGGTTTGGTGAGCTCAAGCAGCTTCAGGCGAAGACTCCGACGAGGAGTCTCAGCTTTCCGAGTCCTCAGACGAGTACATGACCAAGTGCTCCTCGCTGGGTGCTTGGAATCTCCGAAATGCCCCTCCAGCTAACCTGCAGACTGTGCAGGCTGAAGGGCGTGGAGCTGGCGCATGGGGCGCTACAAAGACGTCGCTTGCTCCAACTCTTTGCAGAGGTTGCGTTTCACCTGCAGACGCCAGCGACCAATCCGAGGATACAAAAACATCGCGAAGGCGATTCTGGAGGACACTCGTTTTGGCACCCCCATGTGCGGCGTATCTTGATGCAGTTGCCGACCCCTGCGCACGGCTGTCCGTTCCGGAACCACTCGAAGGACCCAATGTTTTTCTACGACGAGATTTTTGCGGTTGAGCCGCTGTCCGGCCGTATTTGGGCGAAGTCCAAGGTGGCCATCACCTTCACTTTCACGCCGAAGGTCCCCGGGTGCCGGGGACATGAGTAGCATAGTGTATCATGGGCATCGTGACAACATGTTTTGGGGGCCCACATGACTTCTTCTTTTGCATGTGTGTGAGATGCCGCGGGCATACGGGCTTCTGGTTTAGCGTCTTTGAGCTTCGGTATCATCCGCTTGAGTTCGTGTCGGTTCTGTGCTGCATCCGAGAACCCGTCCAAAGCACCGGTTGCGTCGCCACTGCATGAAGCATGTGTGTGCCATTGTGGAAGGCGGCTCTGAACTACCAGTGCCTGGCTTATTGTTCCATTGTCGGTCGCGCTGAGCGCTTGCCGCTCTTGCTCAAGGGAACCTTGGCCTTCGGCAAGTCGGCAAGCGTGGGTAACTTTGGCGTCGTCACATGAACCAAGGAATCGGGATTGGGCCCAAGGCTGCCTTCTCTTATGATGAGCTAGATGTTGGCGACATTTTTGTGGAGTCTGTCCACCAGTACGAGGCGCAGGGCATTCGGACGGGCATGTGTCTGCCATGCTACATGTATCCGAGCAAAGCCGAAGCGAGGTCAACTTGATCAATCAAGGCGACATTGCAGCTTGGCAGTGGTTGGACGATGCGTTGTCTGAGCCAGCTGCATCTAGCATGACTGCCGAGGATGTAGAGTTCCGACTGGTTCGCAACTTATCCTGCGGGACATTAGTGTCTGTTATGGATGACAATGAGAGGTGTGGGGGTCCCTGATACCTTAGTGTCTGAGGTTCCGAACACGTCCCCTTTTGGCTCGAAGTTTGCCTTCACGCCAAGTGATGGCCGCTTGGAAGTCGGCGGCGGCTAATCTGAACTCGAGCCCTGCATCGGCGTTACAAGCTGCCGCTGTAGAAAGCAGGCCAGTGCACCATCGTGGTTGAGGTGTGCGGGCGCCTGAGTCCTGTACTGTATAACAATCCAGAGCGAGCTCTTCAGGCAAGCAGGGGTGGATTCTCCAGTCTATCTTACTCTGCACTGTTCTCCAAGGCCCGGATCTTCTCGGGGAGTTCCAGGAAACATTCTACTGGGAGCTGGTAGGCCCTTTGCCTGAATCCAAGTCTGCCGATACGGCGAGCCTGCGCACTGTGCCAAGCGTCGGTGCCAATAGTTCCGAAGATTGGAATGGGACTGTGTAAGTCCGTCATCATGGAGTTGGTAGTTTGTCTGCAGACCTCGTCTGGCATTCCCGAGTGTGACCTCCAAAACTCTTCAAACGGCATGTGACATGTGATTAGCCTTCCGGAGCCCTGGCCGGTACCCTGGCCGAAGCTAGCTCAGAGTGATTGAGAAATGCAAAAGTTGCCGGAAAGCTTTCTGCAATTCTGCAGAGCTGTTGTCATTACCAAGCTGAGACTTGTGCACGGCCAGGAAGCACCTCCAAGATAGCACTGGGCTTTCGGGGCCATTCCGCTTCTCGGCTTCTCCATCCAACCCTGAGTTGACTGCCATCGGCCGGATTCGCGTCGATTCTTTCGGCATGGAGTGATGTGATGCTGAAGCATGCGTAGGGTTGAAGCGGACAGCTTGGGTACGACTCTGAAGCTGAGCTCGAGCTGGTGCCTGTTTTGCCCGTCAAGGGGGGGGTCATCAAGAGATGACAGCCATGCTCCTTGCCAGACCTCAGGTCTCTCCCACTTTCCACTTCGACTTGGACCGCATCTCTTTTGGCGTAGTCAGCTACGGCTTTCTCAACTCCAAGACGCTGACGCTCACGAATACCTCAGAGGCTTCCCCGTCGCAGCGAGAGAGCAAGTCGAGGGATGATAAAGCAAAGAGCAATGGCAAAGTACTGTACATATGGGGGTAACAAGCTGATGATGCATAGAGCCTGGGTTCAAAAAAATGGGGGCAAAAAGAAGAGACAGATACGATAAGGCAGCAATGGCGACGAGGACAGGAACAACATTCCGAGGAGAGCAGCAACAGCAAAAGCAGCAACGAACTGTCCGATCTGAAGGCCTTACATGTCCAAGAGCAACCAAAACGCCATTGGGCCGTTGTTATGCAGTAGGAGCACCTGCGGAGCGCACTTTGCATGACATTTACTTTGGACGTCATGCGCGCGTAGCGTTTGGCTTATCAAGCATGACCGCGTAGGCTTGGTAGGGTAGTATGCCGGGGCCCAGAAAGAGACGCGGACGCGTAGAGCCACCAATCCCAGATGATAGCGACTGGGAGGTAATGGACCTCGAGTATGAAGTGGAGTCTACCGGAGGATGTATGAAGAACTGTCACTGGTGCGGAATCAGGAAGTGTACAAGGGAGAAAAAGAATCACCAGAAATGCGCCTGGTTCCTCCCCCGGGAGGACCAGGGCGCATGGAATGCCCTACCCGCTGCGCGCGGAGACTACGTAGAGCTGAAGCTCCTTGATGCCTCCCACCACCCTCAGGGGATGGGAGAAAGCCCCATGCGATATGGGGAGTGGTTTACAGGTACCATCATCGCGGTTTCAGATGGGTACCTCCAGTGGTGGCTGGACGAAGGAGAGGGCTCTGCGGAGCAGAGGTGGTTCTCCTTCCACGTCTGTGCCAAGACCCCTGCCACCTGCAGAGTGTCGAAAGGGCGCCCCGACATGGAGTTCCACTTCGAGTCCCTGACCCCCTAGCGGAGCTCGGGACGCCTCAGCAGCCCGCGTGGCTCACCCAACCCGCTGCGGCGGCAGATCTAAAGTGGGAGCTAGATCGCTTGGGTGGCCAGCCACCACCACCAGCTGCGGCTGAGGTTAAAGGGGGAAAGAAAGAGCGGGAGAAGGGTCTCGCTGCACCTTCCTGGGGTGCTCCCCCTGGCGCGGAGTCCAAGCCCCGGGGCTTGCCGCAGAACTCGACGACCTGGCCAGAGATTTGAAGGATCCTGGGCAGGGTCGGAGGGATAAGCGGAAAAATCGCCGAGAGCGCTCTCAGGAGCGACGCGCCAAAGAACCCCGTGCGCGGGAGAAGGCCTCGGGGCCAGCGGCGGAAGCAGAGGCTGCCCTTGAGAAGAAGAGGCGCCGCTGGCTGGACCCGACGGGCCACCTCAGTGTCTCCTCTGAGTCGGAGACCAGAAGGGGGCGCAGCCCTCGCAGGCGTCGGTATCCTCTGACTCGTCTTTTCGCGAAGCCTCCTCGTCTCGCGACCGCCAGCTGCAGCTTCTGGAGTACTCGGAGAGGGACCCAGGGCGGCTGGCGGCTCGTCTTCTGCAGAAGATGCGAACGCTGCTCGCACGGGACGGGGGGGCGCTGAACTTCGCAGCCCGAGGAGATCCGGCGCCACCTGTGGCGACCAGCTATCTCCTAACCATACTGGTGCCGGAGTACAGGGCGAAGGTGGGAGTACCCCTCCTGAGAGAACTCAAGACCCTGTGCAAGACTCTGGACCTGGTGGTCGAAGGGGAAGCGCGGCGCGCCGCAGACCTTCTCGCGCAAAGAGTGAAAGCGATCGAAGCCTCCCTGGCCGACGATCACTGGCTCAAAGCGCAGTTCTTGGAACTGGTGCCGCGAGAGGGAAGTCTCCATGGAGACCGACGAGGCGGTGATGGCGGCCCGCCAGCTAGCCCTGGAGACCAAGGTGAAGGAAGCAGGGCAACGGTCTTGGGGCACGCTCGCGCGGACGAAAGCGAGCCGCCTCCGCTCCGGACCTCAACCCCCGAGGGGGAGAAAGGCAAAAAGGGAGAGGGCAAGAAAGGAGAGAAGGGAAAGAAGGGGCGAAAGTACAGCCCGCCGAGGCGGAGAAAGGCGGGGCCCCCACGAAGCCCTCTCCCACTAAGCCCAAGAAGGAGAGCCGGGGTGCGCCCCAGGGTGCATCTCCGGCTGCGGCCGAGTCCTTTAGCCCGGGGCAGGAAGAAGAGTGGGCCGATGAGTGTGATTGAGGCCTTTGGGGTCAGCGAGGACGAGGACACCCTCCGTGACTCCCTGGAGCACGCAGCAAAGCATGCGGCGCCGGGTTGGTGGAACCTGAGCCACCTTCAGGCTGCAGTCCGCAGGCTCCTGTCGGGGAAGCCAACCTGGAGGGCAGGCGGTTCCCTATCTTGGCTCTTTCTTCCGAAGAATGGAGGAGACCGAGGCAGCCCCCCCGGGCGCGGAGCCCACCAGGGAACAGGACCTGCTCCCGATCCATGTTGACGCTACCTGCAACATAGAAGTTGTGGAGAACTGCTCCCAGCTGGTTCTCGAGACCACGCTGCACACCCTCAACTTCCACTACTGTTGTGGGTGGATCAGCCCTGTGTGCTGGCCACCACCTGAAGAGATCACCCCGCGGCAGGCGGAGGCTGTGAAAGGAATCGTGAAGGCCTGTGCTGGCTGCTTGGGCAGAGGCCTGCCTCTGGGAGGACCGGCTGAGGCCGAGAAGATCCTCTCCAGTCGTTCTCGCGACTACGAAGGGAACATGGTGGAGCGTGTGGGCGAGATCCAAGCGGATCTGGTGATCGCTGCCTGGCCCAAGGTTGGTGAGGCGGCGGTCGCCAGCGTCACCGACTTTTTGACCGGTGATGCCCTCCAGGCCGTGCTCTCACCGAGACCTCACTTCAAGAGAGGGAGCGACCAGCCTAGAACCTCTAAGAAAGGTCGGCTGCATGCCACCCAAGAGGAATGGAACAAGGTTGTCGCAGCGGCCTTCCAGCGGAATATGATGGGGCCAGTGCCGCGCGACGCACAAGGCCACCTGATTACAAATGGTGCTGGAGCTGTTGAGAAGCGGAAGCTGGTCGGAGGCAAGGAGGTTGCTATGCAGAGGTTCATTAGCAACTTCGTCCCGATCAACGAATACCTGGAGGCCCTTCCAGGTGATCAGGACTTCCTCCCTTACGTGGCTCAACTTGGCCTGCTGCTCCTGGAGGACAACCAGACTCTGATGATAGAGCCCGAAGACCTTACCTCTGCCTTCAACCTGTTCCGGATGCCCGACGCCTGGCTGCCGTACTTCTCGTATGCCAAAAAGGTGCCCGGGCATATCCTGGGCTCCAACGAGGTGTGGGTCAGGCCGGGGCTGCGCGTCATCCCCATGGGTTGGAGCTCCGCCGTCACCATCATGCAGGCGGTACTCCGGAACCTTGTTTTCACCAAGGCCGGGGTGCCAGAGAGCCTGGAGATTTCCAAGGTCAAGGAAATACCCGCTGAGGGCGGAGCTGTACTTTACCTTGACTCCTTTGACCAGGTACGGATGGTAGACACCACGCTGCGCGCAGTGGAGGAAGGTGTCGCCAGTCCAGAGCATGAAAGGTTTCGGGCTGCGTGCCTAGAAAGAGGTTTCCCCCTCAATGCCTCCAAGTCCCTCGCGGGGGCGCTCCGAGGAGGCATCCAAGGAGGGGTGCTCGATGGAGACAAGGGGCTATTTCAGTGGGAAGCGACAAAGCTGATACTTGGGTCTTTTAGCTTCCGCCTCCTGGTCGGAGGCTGCCTTGAGGAGGTGGGTTGGAATCGCGACCTTGGTGGCCGCCTTCCGGCGCCCGCTCTTTGCAGTTTTCCAGGAGATCTTCCCCCTGATCGAGAGGGCCAAGGAAGGAGCGGTGGATCCCGATCCACAGGTCATCGATCAGATGCTGACCTTTGTGCTCCTGCTGCCCTTGGCCTCCACCTCCTTGAGGGCCAGAGTTTCGGGTGAGATCTCCTGCTCCGACGCCTCGCTTTGGGGAGGCGGCGCTGCTGTGGCCCAGACCGCTCGGAGGCCCACTGTGGCGGCAGTGGAGGAGGACGAGGTTGGTGTTTGTGCCCGCTGCGGCGGAGTCGAGTCTTGGGCGCGGGCACTTCTACCCTTGCCCCGCTTCATGTGGGAGGTCCTTTTGCTCCATCTGGTGCATTGAGGAGCATAGGGAGCACAGGTGTGCTAGGAGAAACTACCTGTGCCCCACATTCGCTGAGTTCTTTCCTGAGCCAGGCCAGCCCCTTACGGAGGCCATGGCCTTGAACAAGGTGGCCGTGCTCACAGCCTTGGGGCCCAACGTCAATGACAAAGATGATTTTTGGAGCGCGGCTGGGAAGGAGAAGCTAGAGAGGATGGAAGCGGACCCACTGGTTGCGGCCAAGTTTTAGGAGTCCACCTTTCAACACCTTTGGGCTTGGCAGGGGCGAGCAGGCACAGCTTCAGAATGGCAGATGGGTGGATGCCCCTCCTGCCCTCCGTGCCGGAGGGCATCTCACGGGGGTAGCCGGCCTCTCTCTAAGGCCGCCGCCTTCGAAGTGAGGAGGGCTAACACCCTCGCCCTGAGAGCTTTGAAGTCGTTGTCTCGGGCCGTCGAGGAGAACTCCCTCTGCTACGTTTGCCAACCCTGGGGCTCCTACCTTTGGTACCTCCCAGAGGCCGAGGAGCTAAGGGAAACAAAGGGGATCTTCTCCACCTCGTTTCCCTTGTGCTGCTTCGGCGGACCCAAGCGGTGGGTAGAGCTTCTTCACAACTCGCCTGCGGTCCACCAAGCCCTGCACCGGACCGAGTGCCGAGAACACGAGGAAGAGCCCAAGGCTTGGTACGACAACACCGGGCGGATACGATTCGCCTGCTGCGAAGAACTCCGCCTTCCGGAGGATCTGTGCGACACCCTTGCCCTGGCGATCAGAAAAGATCTGGCTGAGATCTGTCCCCTCATCCCAGGCAAGCTCACAGATCGCACGATCGCCGCGGCGGAGGCAGCGGCCGAGGTGATTGCGCCCATCGCCCGGGAAATCCTTGAGAACCCCATAGAGCACCTGCGGAGGATGCTTAGCCGGGGCCATTACCGAGGTACCGAGGTTCGGCTCATGGCTCCGGGCGAGCCAGACAACCTCAAGTTGGTACCCTACCCGGCGCATCTCTGGCGGTGGCGCAACACGTTGTCCTTCGCTTGGCACAACGAAGACAACATCACCGCGCTAGAGATGTTGGCGGCTCTAGCTGAGATCCGACGCCGTGCGCGGCAGCTGAATACACAGGGGACAAGGTTCTTTCACATCCTTGATTCCCAAGTTGTGTATCATATCATGGCGAAAGGAAGGGAACACAGCAAGAGACTGAACAGGCTGGCTCGAAGGATGATGGCGGTTCAACTTGCGGCGCAGTTGCAGGCACTCGCGCTTTGGACCATTTCGGCATGGAACTTTGCCGATACTGCGTCCAGGAGATTTGCTCCTCACCATGGCTCCTAAGCTCCACCTTAGGTTCCAAGGTTTGAACCCCAAATCCCGAGCCAACTACCGCCGTGCCCTACTCCGCTTTTTTGATTTTCTGTCAACGGAGGAACTAGAGCTACCCAACACGGTGAGAGACCTTGACTCAGCCCTTGGGGAATTCATGAATGAATCCTTCCAAGAAGGTGACTCACCTGGGTATGCAGGGGCTGCCGTCTCTGCTCCTCCCCCGACTGCGGTCGAGACTTTATACCGCCACTCAACTTTATTCCAACTGGATGAAGGTTTACAAACCATGCAGGGCCACACCGGTCCCTTGGTCCATGGTACAAGCCATGGCAGGTGCTGCCCTGTCGGCAGGTCAAAAGCGACTTGCAGTGGCGCTTCTCATCGGGCACGTGGTGGCTGCCTTGCCACACACAAAAACCTCCCGCGGGAGAGCGCAGAGCGTTTCACTCTTTGACCCTTTTTTGTGCCGGGTGCTGCCAGCAGCCATGGCAACGTGGTCACCTGATCAATCCATAATTAACTCTTCGTTGCAAACTTTTCGGGCGAGATTCCAAAAACTTGTGGTCTTCCTGGGATTGGAAGAAGGCACCTTCCTCCCCTACGGCCTTCGCCGAGGAGGTGCCACTTTTTACTGGCAAACCTCGCAAAACTTTGAGGCAACCATGATCATGGGAAGATGGCAGGATCAAAAAACCTGTCGCATCTACCTTGACGAAGCCCGCGCACTGCTGGTGCAGCAACAGCTCGCTGTTTCTTCCCTCCCTCGCCTCCCTCATTTCGTGCAGCAGTGCCGCCGGCTTCTTTCAGAAGCTTGACGCTGCGCGAGGACGGCAATCGCTCTTGCTCACTGGTGGTGGGGAGCGCTTTTAAAATGGGAGGCGCACCGCGGTGCAGTTTCACCTTGTACGTTGGCCTACCACCCGCGGGTGAGTTCAGGCCTTGAGTTGCCAGGAGACCGCCGGCCCTCGTGGGCCCCCTGGCTTTTCACCCGTGCTGTGGTTCGTCCACGGTGCGCTGATCATGACCGCTGCCTCGGTCTTGAAAAAAAAGAGTGCTCGCGTGACACACGAGTCCAATATGATTATGGGGATGTAATGCGGGCATTTGTGAAACTGGGACGAGCAACGGTTAGTCTTCATGCTGAGCTGCGAAACGCTACACAAAAAGGCCAGTGGTTATTGTGTTAGCGAGACTTCCAAATCATCTGCACCAGTCCACACAGTAAACACTTGCCCAGGTTCCGATGCGGTTCGCTCTGCGCATTCCGGGGGATGGGCGAAGTAACCAACGACGCTCAGCGGGATTCCTCGACATGTTCATTGGGCTGTGCTACACAGACCTGGACCTACCTTTCGTGAGTGGGTGACAGAGCTGAGGTGAGTTCGACGTGATCCCACCGAAGGGCACTCTGTTGCCCAATTGCTCTCAGAAGATCCAAATCGACTTCGTCAGTGGGCCTCTGAGACGACGAGGGACGTCCGGAGTCTTCGTGTGCATTTCTCTGCTCCAAACCAGGCCTCAATGTCAAGTCCTACGATCTGTGTCTAGTGGTGGATCTCGACGGTGTCGGACAGGTGCCTGAACAGCATCTGGTCGTGTGATGACCTGCACATGCAATCGCAGGGCTGTCGTCTTTTCTGTGGTTGCCGCCGCCGTCCCCAACTGTTTGTTGCCCGCATGCTGGTAACGTTCCTCATTTTCTACAGCAGAAGCGCACCTTGCACAGCGGGGCTTTCTTCTCAACACAAGCTACAAAAGTAGAAGTCAGTACAGACATGTGGACCTTAGGAGTTTTGTAACTTGTTCTCTCAAGCTGTCACTGCGGCTCTCGAGTTTTCTTCCTTGCGCAGATGATGCCTCGGGCCTAGGATCCGTTCCCTCATAAACCCAATGAAGTTCAGAGCTGCCAATCGGCACACATGGGAGTTTCCAATTTGTTCAGGTCCCTGACCCCTGATTGAAGGCATGTGTCTGTTACGATTACATGAAAAGCAAGCAAGACGAACCAAGCAACACCGACAAGTCAATGAGCATGTCGGTCATAAACTAGTGGGAACAGGACGTGTCCGTGTCGCTGTGCCGCAGTCTAGTGGCAAGCTTCGTCTGTGGTCGCTGCTACGATACCAGCACTTCAGCAGAGGAATAGTGCAACGTTTCGGAAGGCAGAAGCCAACAGTGAGATCCTTCCTGTGAGGATCCCTTGCAGTAGTAGGGAACAGTCATGCCACCTTGATCACCAAACCAAGTCGTGCTGTACCACTGCGAACAGACAGACCTCTTCTGGCGAGTCTGAGTTGTAACAGCGCAAATCGGGCACCGTACAATTAAGAAACGATCGCAAACATCATAGAACCTGAATACTAGGATCTGGCCAAAACCAGTAGGTACCCTTAAGGCCAATCATCTCGTGGTCTTCGCTTCGGCTTCGGCCAGAGTAGTTGACACGATTTATTAGTCTGTGAGTCTTTTCGTTATGTTTGAGGTTTATTGTTCCTATTATCAGTACTACTAAGAATCTGGTTGTCTTCCAGCTCAGGAGTTGGCGAGCATCCCAATCCAAGCGCGATGTGCAGTACCGCAAGTGGCGCTGGAGCCTTCGGAACACCTGGAGTACGGCTCCTTGGATGGGATGCACGGGGTGCTGTAGCGGTGTAATCTTGGATGTGATGGGGGGCTGCGGCTACACGTCAAGGCACCTGGCAAGTGGTGTTTTCGAGTCTCGCTCGCTTGTGGTTTGTCTGAGTCGGCCTCGCCTTGGTTGTGGCTGCAGATCCTCTTGCAGGTGTTTTGAGCCAGAAATCTCGTCTTGAATGACTCTAGCTTCATAGGACAAGCCTCACACCATTCAATTGGCGCTAGACCCCTCTCGAAGAACGCACTAAAGCTGACCCTGACTTGAATGGAAGAGAAAGGTGACATCTTCATCCGATATCCCTCGCACCAGACTTTGGTTTCTTTGGCAGCATTCCAGTGCAAGAGCAAAGGCAGAACTAGCGGCCAGAATGAGGAGGGTTCAGGCTGTTTGACTGACTCTTCGGGCTGTTTAGGCTGTGCAAGTTACAAGGTTCAGGGATCCAGCTCTAAGTGTCGGAAAAGCAGCGGGAGCATATCCCGGGCCAAGCCAGTCTCGTGATAGGTGGCAGCAGACGAGAGACAGATAGATCACTGTTGGGGCATGTTTCGCGAGAACTGCTCTTGAGGGCTGAAGCTGAATTGACTGCCGGATCATGCCCCAGGTGCTGAACAACACCTCAGCCTTGCCAGCAAAGTTTCAGATCATGCCCCAGGACGATTCGACGAAGCTTGGTTGCAGCTGCCTCTGTGAGATGCTACAATAGGTCTCCAAGAATCGAGCCATGGGATATGACAGGTATGACATCATAATTTTTTTTCCTGCCTGCAGTTCTTCACTTATCCTGCCTGATTCTCAGGAGGTCGATTGCAGAGTTTGAGCCGGATCAGTCCTTCGGCTCAGTGCCTCCGGCTTCCTCGCATGCAGCTCGGCAGCGAAAGGTCATGCAGGGTTCAGAGCAGTTTGGAGATCTTCAGTTCTGAGAAGCATGATCACCATGCAGCTGCTAGTTGTGCAGCGCCCTCTGTTGCGACGAGGTCCTCACCTTCACTCTGACCTCGCAAGTGATAGGAACACTGCAGATTCCGATCACCATCCGGATTCTGGGGCACAACTCTGCAAGACACCGGGCCGCAAGCTGCAGTTTTTCGCCGGTCGGCTTTCCTTGGTTTGCTCAGTTTGTGAATGCCGGGTGTGCCAAGATACGGTGATCTTGATTGCCAATACGATTGGGCCTATCGTCAACATTGAGCCAAGCGTCGTGGACTGGGGCAACTCACACTGCCTGGAGCCAATCACGCGGTCTGTACTGGTCAGTAACAACTCGGTGATCCCAGCATCGGATGCCTGGCAACAGCAGCTGTTTACGCCAAACCCCGTTTCTTAAGTTTGGATTCGGTGCTACTGAAGGTTAGGTCATCGTATCAATGATCCTGCTTTGAGTTCAGTATGCCATGATTGCCATGTGTATCTTTGAATCCAAGGTTCGCTGCATCATGAAGACCCGGAACTCGCTCTGGACGTTGTCTCCGAAGGCCATGGAGCTGCAACCACACGAGTCCGCCTACCTGCCTCTTGGCTGCAGCTTTCCAATAGCGGCCTGCTGCTTGCTGTCGCTTGAGAAATAAAGGTACATGACGCTGACCATTGATGAAGTGGCCAAGATGACAGACATCGCGCATGCCGTCGGACTGCAATGAGAGTCGCCCTGTCGTTGTGTAAGAACAAAGCGGTAAGCCAGGTCATCGTGCACGAGAGCAACGACGTCGCAGTCACGGTGCGCGCCAAAGGGATTGGCACGCCTGTGACCTGCAAGGAGTCGCCGCTTGACGAAGTTAGAAGCTGTTGAGCTTTCAATGCAGCTCAATATTAGTTTTTTAGGTCCTACAGAAAGGGCAAGACTAAGGCTCGAGCTCATCGACTTCGGTACGCAGTACACAACTCAGACACACTCGAGGGAGGTGGTGATCGAAAATCGTGGGCGCCAACCACGAAAGCTAGTTTGGACGCTCGAGCTGCTTGGCTAGAAGGAGGTTTTGTCAGGTCATATGCGACTCTCAGTCTCCTTTGCCGCAGGTCAGAAGAAACCAAGAAGAAGGACCGAAAGACGCCAACGAAGGACAAGCCGGCAGAAGAAGGCGGAAGATAAGCATAAGGTAAAGCTGTCTTGCTTCACGATGTTTAAGCAGGCCTGAGTGACATCTGGTAGACAGGGACGGCAGTGTGTCGGATTTTATTTGAGGTTCGCGCGAGGGTGTCGACATGGTGGCCGGTTTTCGGTGGTTCGGGTGATCTTGGCGAGTTGCTGCGTGCTATTATGCGAAGGCGATGCTCGAATCTTCTCGGTAGTGCCGGACACCGTGCAACTCGGCCGCAGGCACGCTCAGGAAGCCACGTTTTGAACTCTGCGCACTCCGTGCTTGTCTTTCTGCTCCGTCGGCATCTGTGGCGCATCGGCCGGGAAGGGCGGGGGAGAGTTCTTCACAACTTAGCCATGGAAGCGCTTTGGCCATGCCGAAGCCACCCGCCGGTCGAGATTGGATCGATTCTGTCGACGACACGTTCGACACCTTGGCGCGTCCCGGGGCCCGGCCTTCCCGGCCTTCACAAGCAAGTCCGCCGAGACCCTCCCGTCATTCGCGACACTCGCGAAAGTCTAATGACAGCCCCAAATCGCAGCGCGTCAGTGAGAGGTCGCTGCAGCCAGCAAGGGTGCAGGCAGACTCCTACCAAGACTGGAGACAGGCACAGGAAGAGGCAGCCCGTGCCATTCGGGCGGTGGAGCCGTCCAAAAGGAAGAAGACACGCTTCTACAGTCGGCTCCGGGTCTGCGTCGTCGTGTGCTTCGTCGCTGGCTACATTGCCTTGGTCGCGGTCCTTGTCTCGGCCATTCTGTCCGAAAGGAGTGAGCTTGGGGAGACCGGCGAGCCGGAATGCGAGAAGCTTTGTCCTCTGAACACCCGGTGCCGGATGGAAGAGGGCGAAGCTCGCTGCGTGGCCTTGCCGGGAAGCAACCTGGAGACGATGGAGCTGATTCTGTGGATTGTGGTGGGGCTGCCTTCCTTGATCTGCATCCCCTGTCTTTTTCAGTGGCTTCTTCGCAGATGTTGCCCCAAGTGCTGGGAGAAGATGGCGAAGTCGCGGTGGGGTTCCGCGGCCTTTGAAGCCTATCAGGCCGACACGGAAGCCTTGGGAGCGATGCTCGGCAAGCCGCAACCCGAGACCTCCGAGACCTCCGAGACCCCAGCGCCGGCCGTGGCCGAGGCCCGGAGTTCCAAAGAGGACCCGCCGGGCCAGGGCCACAGCCAGGGCCACACTGCAGCGATCCCTGTGGAAGATGGCTTGAATGACCTCTTCGCGCCACTGGCAAAGAGCCGCCCTCCTAAAGCCTCTGCAGCGGAGGAGGAGGAGCTGGACCTGCTCTTTGCACGCAAGCCCAAGCCCAAGGAGCCCGAAGAGGTCGTTCCTGTAAGGGGGCCGCCGAAACCTCCCTCCACAGACCTGGAGTCGGCCTTCAGCCATCTCTTCCACAAGCGCGCGAGGCTCCTACCGAAGCCGCAGCCAAAGTCAGCTGCAGTCTCAACTCCCGGCTCGGCGCTGCATTCAGACTTCTCGGCGGGGATGAGCGTGCTCTTTGCCAACGTGCAGAGCTCCAAAGCTAAGCAGACTTGGGACGCCCGGAACGATCCGGATCCGCAGTCGCAGTCCACCGTCATCGAGGCCTCCAGGGTGCACAGCGAAGCTCCTGCAGGCGTTGGGGACTTTCTTGACCAAGATCTGGGGGACCCGCCAGATTTCTTTGCTTTTGCGAAGCTTGTAGCGGGATCTGTGGATACCGCTAGAAGCCATCTACACGATAGCGATGCTGCCAGTGATTCCGGCGACTCTCTCGGGCATTTAGAGCCCAGTGACCTGTTGGATTTGTTTCACCCGCCTCTTGACGGATGGTGAATCCCATGACAGTCATGGTTTGCAAGTCCTGTCGCCACGGCAAAAAAAGGTACGGGGTATGGGCTAGGAAGCGTAGGGGCCCTATACGTACTAATACTACGAACGTGCAAAGCCAGAAATCCCTTCGGCACCGCTAGGCCGTTGTATGAGATGGCCCCCGAGTGAGCTTCTATACTTTCTTGGGATGAAGGGTGTGGCCCGTGGGGCAGCTTTTTGTCCATGTAATAGCCGGTGGAGTGAGTGGGAAGAGTCAAGAACCCTTGCCCACCAAGTTCCGAGCGTCTTCCGAGGACTTTGGATGGGAAATGCGCCTTTCGCTTCGTTTTCAACGCCTCGAGTCCCAAGCCTGGCTCGCTCTCGGACACCTTGGTCTGCACCGAGCCACGAGGCTCAACACCAAACAGTTTCTTAAACCTCCCATAAGTGCTACAAGTTACAAGCATTAACGCATCTCCTGACAAGTAGGCGAAGGGTCGTTTCGCTTGGGGATGCCTTCACGTACGAGAGCATGTTGTACTGCTCGTTTCTACCGCCCTGTTTCTGTGTTTGTGTATGTTTGTACAGTCGGCACGCTTGCTAACTGACGTTCCATCGGGTTTTGTCCTGTATGCGGTTATCTCGAGGGTGACGCCGTGTTTCTTCTCTGTACTCTAAGATTCGGATCTCTTGCCCAAGTCTTCTCCACAGCTTGGATGCTTTCCTTCCCAGAAGCGTTCGCAGATGGGTCCCCAGATCGAACGCCGAGGCTCTGCGGCAACGACCGGAAAGGGAATGCCATCTACAAGACCGAGCTTCGAGGAAACTTTGTACCCCGCCAGCAAGCCACCAGCAGGTTTTTAGCTCCCTCAAGTCTGCTTTGGACGTTTTCCCGGCGAGGTGCTTCCACTGTTGGAGCTGTCCGCCACGTCCGTTTCCTTCAGTGGCTCAGTTGTAAAATGGATTTTTGGTGAAGTGCGCTCTAGGATGCTAGGGCGTTCGAATTGGTGCCCCAAGCCTGCCTGGTTGGAGAATCGGGGCGAAGTCTGGAAGGCACCAGTTCCAACGACTTTAGTTTCGTGTCGGTTCCCAAGCATAGCCTTTGAATAATCGCGTCTCTGCCGTGGGTGACTTGGTTGGCTTTCTGCCCTTGTGCTGAAGCAAGTTTGTATGAATTGGGTGCCATCTCATGTCAGGATATCTGTGGGAGCGCAACTGCCCGCTGCACCCGCTCTCCGAGCCGTTGGCATCTCTTGCCAAATTGTGCTTTGCCGCCTCACTCGAACGACTTACCCAAGCTGAAGTGGGGGCCGACCAAACTGTCCCTCTGCCAGGTGCTCAAGAACATCTCTCCTTTGGAGGCGACGGAGCGCTATTCAAAGGTTTGTCAAGTGGGTCTGACGGAAGCAGCACCACGAAAGGCTAAGGCTTTCATCTGTGAATCCCTCTGAGTTGGAGCTTTCGGCTGCCATCGTGGTTCCAGATGGCTGCGTCCATCAGTTCAGGTAGGAGGTCTTCCCACACTGACGACTTTCTGCAATGGTGGCAAGATGAGCCCGAAGGTGTCAGCGCATTCGTGGGGCGCGCAACAACCAGCAGATGACTCTGCAAGTCGCCGGTTCTCGCTGCCTTTCAGGAGCTGGCAGCTGAACGCCGCGCTTTTCCTGGCAGTGAGTGTGAGTGTGCGGAATGGCCTTGCTCTTATGCTGCCTGGGGGCGTCAAGCTGCCCCCTCCGGCCCCGCTCGCGATGCGGCAGAGGACCACGAAGCTGCGAGACCCGGAAACAGGCGCGGGGTCGTCGGTAGGCCTGGAGGAAGTATCTTGAACAAACGTCACTTAACGGGGTCGGATGCCGTTTTCTACTTGGCAATTTGGATGTTGTGGTGTGGAGTTGAGTCGGGCAGGTTTTCGGCGACCACCGCCCAAAGAAGCTGACTTTGCCCTTGATATCTTCCAGCGGACGTTTCCTCGAGTCAACACAGAGGAGAGACTTTTCAGAGACTCGCCGCAGAAGTGACGCTCCCATGAGCCGTTTCAGGAGCACATCCTTATCCGCCGATGGGAGGATATGGTAGATATCTTCGAAAGTCCGGAGCTCGTCAACCAGTTGATAGAGGCCGGTCGTACCCGGTCTTGTTTGAGTCTGAGCTGAGTTGCGGGCCTTTTGATTGCGAGTCTCGAGGACGAGCCCTCGATCCTCCGAATGCCTCGGCGAACTGCTCGGAACGCCCTCCACCTCCTGAGCATCTACTTGGGGGAGGAGGCCAGGCTTTCAACGAGCCACGATGCCCCGGAACCTTTGAACGCCAGGCAGCGAAGGAAGCCGTCTTCGAATGCCCATACCTGCTCACGAAGAACTCGAAGCTCATGCGCGCAACGCTCCCGGCACTCATCAATGTGCTGGGACACCGAGCTGCAGACAACTGTTGCGGCCTGCAGTGGCATGGGCGCTCTTGACGGAAAGCATGTTGGACATCCAAGGATCGCGGTCGCGGCTGCGAGAAGTCATCGCCAAGTATCCTCAGCTGACCAATCTGCCTGTGGGCGACTTCTACAAGGCGCGGTAAAGTATGCTACTTTTCGTGGGCAGATTCCACCGCCTTTCGGTTTGACTTCCTCCGTTGACGCTGATTGATGACTGCGGCTGCTTAGAAGTTGACCGCTTTCCCCCCCCCACACGAGTGCATGCCGTGCTTTTGCAATAACGCGTACGTGCACCATGTGCACGTATTCATATACATGCATACAGACCTGCGAGCATGCTTATAGCAGAGCGTGCTAGGGTGAGTGGTTCTGAATCAGGCACGTGCAGATACGTTTTTTCAGACCTAGAAGCAGAGACCAAACGGTCCAGCTACTGTATCACCTCATTGCCGCAAGCGGTCTGAGAGATAAGTCCGAGACTCTGGACCGCACCAGTCGTCCTTTCGAGGCGATGGGTGACATGACCGCGGTAATGGGCAGCACGGAGGCAGCCATGGCCGTTGCCAAGGAGGCCATGGACCGCGTGGCTCGCTCGCCCTACGTCTCTGCCGTGCCAGGAGGCCCCAAGCAGAGTTTTCCGATGGCTGTGCCACATGCGGCATTGTCAGTTAGTGTCGTAGAGCACTCTCGCCTTGTCATGCTTGGAAGGTTACCCCGTGCCTCAGCTGCCCTTGGCTCTGGACTGTTTGGGCTGTCGGTGGCTGAAGCGCTGAGCCGTCTCTTGGTGCATCTCGGGTTACGGAGCCCTGGTTGCCAAGGTGCTAATCGCAATTTTCGGGAACCTAGAGGAGGCAGTTTCCGATTCCACGGGCGTTCGAATCCACCAGACACCGATCCGCCGCCCCGCAGGCGCACAAAGCCATAGCCCAGGAGCCGCTGCTGCTGAAGTGGTACGGTGGCTTGGAATGCAATCTACAAACCCGAGGGCCCAGGTCTCGTCACAAGCTCCCAGACGACCCTCAGGTGAGAACTTCTTGGGCCGGCTCGGAACCCTTCGCCAGCTCCTGGGAAAGGCCGGATTCAAAATATATGGGGTGCTGCGAAAGTGGCCTACCATCCGAAAACCTGGATGCCAGGAGGGAGCCCAGAACGCCGTGAGGAAGGCGCCATACCTTCTGCTGGAGGAGAACCAGTGACTCGGCGCCACGAGCTGTTGTTGCCACTGTTCAAATTGTCTTCGTGGCTTCCGCTCGAGGCGCAAGTCTCGAAAATTCGAGTTGGCTTTCGAAGCCGTGGAAAACCTCTTCGGCCGCTTGGCGACAGCGGGTTTCCGGCCCCTCAGAGTTCCTTGTGAAGATTTGCACGCCCAGGTACCGAGGAAGCCCGACAGATAGTCGGGGATAGGCCGGAGCTTTTGGCCCTTGGGTGGCTGCTCGGCACGTGAGAATCCGGGACCTTGGCATTGCTGCCATGACTATGATAAAGCGTGGTCGTGCTGATGCTCTGGCTCATGAGCACAGTTGTGATGATGCAGGGGACGGTGATGGCGACGATGGAACTCGTCAGGCCGAAAATTATGATGATGAGGAAGACGATCACGATACTCATAGTGATGATGCTCCTCTTCCTTTTCTGCTACGTACTTGTCGGAGCTCTGTTTCATGGGTGCCGTGTCACTTCTGAGGAAGCTCCACCGGGCCCTGCGCTTCGCAGAGCGACGCTTGGGCTCCAGAGAGAAGGTCCGCGACAGGCGCAGGGGGTTGAGAGGGGTAGAGGGGCGCAAGGCTTGAGGTGTTGGGTATTTGGGATCGTCAGGTTCGACGCCATTCTGGAGCGCACTGGCTTGGCTGAGCACCTGAACTGGGAGCGGAAGCAGCGGCCTCGCAATGGCCTCTGGACCCCGAAGCTGCGGATGCACAACGGCCCTTGGTCAAGTGAAGGTGTGAAATTATTGAATTAAGTTTTGATTCATGTGGAGGCCTAAAAAACTTTAAGATCAAAGAGGCTGTGGCTGGTTTGAACTTGGACGCACAAGAACCGAGGCTACCCGTTGAACCACGGGCCCTGGTCGCCCTACACGAACCCTCTGGGCAAGGGAGGCCCAGCTCGGGGGCCTTGGCAAGACTTCACGGAGGATGAGGAAAAAGAGGAAGACAATGTCGAAGAGAAAGTCGCTGCAAGCTAAGCCCGCAGCTCTGACTTAACCCGGGTAGGGAGATCACAGCGAACATTGACCGTGTAAGAAGCTCGTTCGACGTCCAAGCGCCACGAGTGCCAAATGAAGCGCACTGCCGTGGGCCGCGCCCGACAATCTGCCGCAGTGTTGAGATGAGGGCGGGTGCCGTGCTTCCGGTGCCGGGCTGCGGACGAGAAAACAGCAGTCCGACATGGAGTCAGAGTCAGCTTTTAGAGAGTCGGTGGGTTCCTATGCGGTTGCGCGTGCTCCAGGTTCGCTTCTTCATCAAGGTTCAACCGTTGCTTGGTTGCACAAATGCGCTGTTAGACTGCCGTTCACGGTGCCTTCCGGCGCTTTCTCTGCGTGAGGCCCTTCTACGTCAACATCGACACGTGCTACTTGCGGTCTGGCGAAACTTTGGAGACGCTCAGCCGGGTAGGGAGCCATTCTGGCATTGAGGCAGACAGTCAGAAACAGCTGCCCAGGATTCGTGTGGAGTTCGATCCGGCCTACAAGGTGGATCGCGTTTGTGGCACCGTGAAGCAGAAGCTGACAATCGTGTACCAGGACCTCTGTATGAAACGTCCCCTTGCATCGGAAGGCTGTCGCAAACAAGCCTTCCCAGGACCACCCGCAGCGGGATCATGTAAATCTGGTTGGTGAAGTCATCTTCCCAAACCTCACGCTTAGCAGCACAGCCGCATTTGCTGACATCTGAACGGTGACCCCTTGTCTCCGGGTTTGCTGCTTGCAGCTGTCACCGCTAAGTGCGGGGAAGGTATCATGTGCGTCTCTGACTGTCTGTGGTGTCTGTGGTGTTTATAGTGTCCAACGTTATCTTGTCTCTGTGCTGGACTGGGTACGGAATCCCCACTGCTCTGACGACCTCGCATGGCACCGCTAGGTGTCCTTCACAGGGTAGTCGTGTTCTCTCGTGTTGCGGGACACGAAAAAGCCCTTTCGTTGCTGCCATGGTGTCGCCGCCACTCATTTTGGATCGGCGTGCCCTTTGGGCATTCGGGGGAATGCGTGCCATCTGCATGTGAGCACGCGTGCGCAGTTTTGGAGCTTTGCTTCGCTTCCGAGGCAACAACAAGTTGGACTTCGGCTCCGAAGCTTGGCGGCCTCTGTTTCTCCTTAGGGCAGACTTCTGAGAGCGAGGGCGATCGGGTTCCAACAGCTGATTCAGCAGATAGCCAAGGTCCTCAATGAGACGAGCAAGCAGCTCACTATCACCATGGCCAACCCCAATGCTCTTCCTGTGAATTTCCAGTGGTCCTTCGTGGAAGAAGCAGCTGCCCGACTCAACAGCTGACAACAGAGCCGCATCTCTCAACTCCAAAGCTTGACCACCGTTGCTACTGCTGCAGAGCACCGAGGAGATGAGCGAAGATGATGTAAGCGGTGGACAAAGGGCATCGGTTGTGATGCAGAGCACAGCGAACTCGGCTGCGAACTCCTTCAGTTCAGGATGCCGAAGCATCAGAAGCGAAAAGTCACACACTGTTGCATGAGAACCTGATGATGGGGTGATGGGCAGGATTTCCGCCGAAACCGACGGCTTCCATCCGCTCCATTGCCGATCCGCCACCTGGCCCGTGCACTTGCAGCTGCACACGGGCTCTTGAAGCTTTCTGGGGTAGCACTGTGCCGAGGAATCTGGAGATGTCCAGCCTGCCGCGGCTGTCTCAAGTGGCCGAAATGCAGGGCACGCTCCTCCCCAAGCAGAAGCAGCGCCCGGCTGTGGCCCCTCCGCTGCAAAGTCCGAAATCGAGGTCCCTTCAATTGGCTCATTTTCCCTTTCAAGGACATCAATCAGATCTTTGACATCTTGCCCATCATGGGTGTCTTGGAGCCGGGCCATACGCAGGCAAGGGTTGCTCGTGCTGTAACAGATGTGAGCCCAGAGTTCCCGTCGGCAGGACGTCACCTTCACTTACTTCGGCATGAAGAACCAGAAGTTTGACTGCTTGGCCGTCTGTCAGACAGAGGGGGGCCCGGAGTCGCTTGGCTTGCTGTTGCATCCGAAAGCGCACGTTCTTTTGCAGCATGCCTATGTTTGGCCAGCAGCCGTTAATCTGAAAAGTCGCCGAAGGTACGAGGTGACGCTGAAAGGCCAGGCATCTCGACTGGACTTCCGCCTGGACAAGACGGAGCTTGACTTCGGCGAGATTCCGTACACTGAGGTGCGCTGATGGGGGATAGCAGCGAATCTCATCGGGTGGTCCGCTCTCGTCAGGTGCAAGAGCGGGAGATCGTCCTTGCAAATACCGGCAAGGCAAGCCCGACAGCACAGACAAACCGTCAGAATTCACGAAAGCTTGATCAGGTCGCCTTCCAATTCAATTGGAACCTTTGCGCTCTCTCACGTCCTCCAGTGCTCGACTGTTGGCCTGTCTCTGGCCAAATCAATCCTGGTGACAAGGAGATGCTCGGATGTCTTTCGCTGGGGTGTGAAGGATGAGCGAAGTCGTGCCGAGAGTGTGTCACTTCCTCTGCAAGCAGGAGCGAATCACGATCCGATTCCGTACAGGCAGAGCTGGTTTTCAAGATTCTGAAAGCTGCCTTGCGTTTTGAATGCCGTACCATTCACAACACCCTCTGATCAGATGACTCGTTGTGCTCTGCCGCCATTGCCGCAAGGTATTCCGGACGAGGTGAACGAAGTCGCATTGCTGGAAGTTGCCCACTTCGAGCGGCAGCGAATCAACGTCCGAGGCCTCCCTCGCGAGGTGCCGCTGTGCCGCTTGTTATGTGCCCTGTGAGGACATGGGATCTTTCCGGGGATCTTGCTCTTGCAGGGCAGCAATCCTGATGTCTTCAAGGGCCTGGAGCGCAGCAATGAGCTACTTGGCAACTGCGCAGGTGTCAACCGTCTTGTTTGCACAGCCAGCCACGACCTCCCGGCAGCCAAGGCAAGAGCATCAGACCAACAAGGAGTTGGCACTGCAGCGGCTCAGGGAGAACGGACCTCCTCCTCAAGCTGCCTGCGTGGCTTGGCTTGTCGTGGATTGCTTATGAGTTTCGCTGTCGTGTAGCTTCAGGTCTCGTCCACCTCCAGCATGCACAGTGCAGAGATCTCTGCAAACGAATCCGCCGCGAGCCTCGCGGAGTGGCAGCCGGAGCCACAGGCGCACGGGGCGTGCGGTGTTCTACGGGCTGGGAGAGCAGCGGACTATTGTGGCACATGGCAGCTTGCAATTTCAGCCCTTGCACCAGGTGGTGGAGTTCGAGGCCGGCTGTGGAGTGAACAGGGTTTGGTCGCAACAAAACATTTGCATGGCCAGGTTGACCGCCACTTTATCTGCCAGTCTCTTCTGGCGAAAGAGAAGGAACGTAGACCTCCGTAAGAGAGTGCTGTGCCGTGCATTTGGGCAGAAACCATGGCGGCTCGGTTGAAAAGTGAGGCTTCTGACCCGTTAGGAGCTGTGGGAGAAGCACCTGGAGAAGTGCAACAAGGAAAGCAAGGACCGGGTTGATCAAAACGGCTTCTGTGCATCTACCACGCCCTCCCCCAACTCCGTGTGAAAGTACCCTTAGAGCGCGAGGGTGGGGCAGTTGAAGACAGGAGACCTTCGGCAAGGGATCAGGGCGAGGCCTGTTGTCGTGGGGCGCAAGTTACCACAAAGCAATGAGGGGCTCCTGCACTTCTTAAACAGGCTCGGCAAGGGGCCGCGGCGAGCGGCGCCCGATGTTGGAGGTGACACACATCACGGCAGCCTATTACGAATGCAACTTCGGGCACATCGTCCTTGGCCACTCCGGAAAGAAGGCTGGAGCAGTGCTAGACTCCAGCAATCGCTGAGCCTTTGCGCTGGCAGGTGATCTCCGTGTACAATTGCTTCCATGAAAGCGTGTCCTTCAACATCAACAAGCGGCTTCTGATGCAGAAAGGCTTCCAGATCAGCCCAGAGAAGGCCGTTTGCGCTGGTTTCCCGGCCGTGAGAAACGAAATGTTCATCACATTCTCGGAAGGTGAGCAAACTACCTCCTGGGAAGCAAGTGAAGCTGGAGCTCACCTGCTTCCGCGACAGGATGGCTGTGACTCAACTTGTAGCCTCCTTGCCGCTTTCGTTTCTGAGCATCTGCTGGCGTGTCTCTGTGTCTCTCACAATGTCGGTAGTTGAGATGGTCGGTATCGTCATGTCCTGGCAGGACTGGCGAGGAGGGCAAGCAGGAGTTGAACTGGATCATTCCGGTCCGGGGTGGGCCATCCTACGAGGTGCAAGAAGCAAAGCCCGCGACGGATGTCGAGTGGTGACATACAACAACAATAGCCTAGCCAAAACATCATGACCACAGCCCTCACAATGATGTTTCTATGTGACGGCAGCAAGACAGATTCTAGATTGGAGCAATGCACAACTGTTCATTTTGGGTTTCAGGTGAAGCTGATGAGTGAATTTGTGCGGCCTGACCTGGAACTGTCTTCCGACTCCATCGACTTCGGGCACGTGATCGTTGGACAGGTGAAGAGGATCACCATCAAGTCGCTGGACTGAATTGATGCGTGGCCTGACTGAGCGCGAAGAGAGCTGGACGCTGAATGTTTGCCCAGGCTTCGCAATGCCAAGTCGGTGATGGCCAGCTGGGGCCATGGTTCTGAAGCATCGGGGAGTCGGGGTGCAGTCACTCGTGACTCAGGCTGGGATTACAAGGCTCCGACGGCGAAGCCCGGGAAGCCGATGGAGTTCGCCTACTCCCTGAGCCCTCGCTCCGGAAGGCTGGGGCCGGTTCTGCTTGGAACCGCTTGGGGCCCGGGTCGTTCGCCGTTCCTTGCAGGGTGGCCCCTGGAGAGTCCCAGTTGGTGACGGTGAGCTTCACGCCGACATCATCGCGATCGTACAATCAGAAGGTGGCCCTCCGGATCATGGACAACCCCATGAGAAGCTTAGCCCAACTTTCAGATCGGAGGTCTTCCCCTTGTTTTTTTCCAACAGATGCGCTAACTGCGCGGTGATCCCAGGAAAGATGCTGCACATGAGAGGATGTGGTGACGGCTTGAGGGTGAACGTGGAGCCTTCGACCACCTTCGAGCTGGGTCCGGTGCTGCCGGGCACGGAGGACTGCATGCAGGAGCTCTTCCTGTGCAACCCCACCAACTACACCATCGAGGTTGGGACGGCAAGAGGCGGAAAGTCTGTGACCACTCCTGGCGCTACAGGTGTACAGTGTGGACTTCGACACGAAGTATCAGGAGGAGGAGTTCTTCCTCCATGTCTACGACAAGCATCTGGCCTCATTCGAAGAGCCTCAGGTCTTCGGTTCCGTTCAGCTTGTTATGTCTTTGTTTGAAGGTATGAGAACAACTCCATGGAGATGCCAGTCCGCACCCCCGGAGCACCGACCTGGCCGGCTGTGGCCAAGCACGGTCGGGAGGTGCGGCGCCAACAGGAGCGGCAACGCCGGCTCCAGGAGAAGGCGAGGGGCGGCAACTCTCTCGCTGCCCTGCTGACCCTGCTTGCCTTCATCTCGTCCTCCCTCGCTTTGTCTCCGGTCCTCTCCGCTCACTCTCCCACTTTGTCTGAGCCTTCCTCCCCTTTCTCATTCCCAGGAGCGCCGGCTCAAGGAGCGCGCCCTGCGGCGCGAAGAGGCCTCCGCCACCCCCAAACAAAGGAGTACTCACACAGACTCGCCCATGCTACGATGGGGTCCTTCGGTCCTTCGGCCCTTTGAGGCCACGCTCCGTGCAGAGGCGGCCAGGAAGGCCTCTGAGGAGCCGCCCGAGGATCCGGAAGAGGCCGAGAGGCTTGGAAGGCAAAAGTCTCCAAAGCCTGAGGGAGATATAAGGAGCTTCAGTTCGCAGTCATATTATGTCGTCTGATGTCAATTACGCATTTCACATCGCACATGGTAGTCTCACTTTGCACATTGTAGACTTTAAATTACATGCCACCAAAAAATGCCACATAATACATACTATGTCATAGAGTGCAGCAGGGCAAGCCTTTCGGGGTGTGGGGTTTTAGGGCTCAGAGTTCCGGGCGTTAAGGTTTCAGGATTCTGTAGGATTCAGGTTTTGGACCGATAAGGGCTTGCCGGCTTGAGGGTGTGGGCCGACCGGTGTCGCTGCTCTTTGTTGCTACAAGTAGGCAGTGGCACAGGCATTTCAGCTTGGGGGACTGTGGGCTGCTATGTTGAGGCGACAGTTCGTAGTCCACTTGCCTTGTTTGGGGGGCTCGGGGCTTGGGGATTCAAGCGCTTCCAGAAAGGCCCGGGGCTCGGAGGAAAACATTTGCGGCGCCTTTGCGGAAGCTTTGGGAGCCTTTAGGGATCTTTAGGGATGATGTCGAAGGCTTTTGCGTTGAGATGGGTTACACAAATCCTGCCGCCGCAAAGCCCCACTGAAGGAGACCCTCGGACACATAGGACATGGCACATTTATGCTTTCATGGTGCATAGAATATGTGCGCATGTCTGCATGAAAACAAACTCTCAATCGTATCATATGGCAATACAATATGATTTAAACATAACCTATAATATTATGTTACATTATCTTGTACTGTATTGCATTGCGTTGTATCGCCTTGTATTGTACTCTATCACGTTGTACGCTGGTCTTGCCTATTCTCTTCGATTCTATTCGATTTTATTCTAGTCTGTTCTCTATTCCACTACAATCTCTTACTGTAAAGCATGTTGAACTGTATGAGGTTGTACTCGGTATTTTTGGATTCCATACCTTATTCTGTGTTGTATGCTGTAGTCTGTATCATGTTACATACTATAGCACGTTGTGCTTTATGCCTGTTATGTTTCGCGCGTTAGGTATGATAGCACTTGTTGATTTCTTTACAGTTCCGCAGCGCATGTTATGCATTCTGTATTTCATAATTTTTTGTGTATAGCACGTCATCAATTTCATGCTAAACGTTTTGGATGTTGAAACATTGACGGAATCGGCCATTTATACCCATGGCCCTACGACTACTACGACCGCGTAATTCCTTTTCGCATGCATCTTTGTTACACCCGTATGGGCTCGGTGAACAACGAGACCTACAATGATGATTCGTATCCCGCTGCTGTGGGGGCCAAGTAGAAGGGGATGCTTGGGTTGATGGTCAGCTGTGGTGAGCCTGTAGTAAGGTTCGTCCTACTGTGTTGTTCGCTGTTGTACCTGACAGATCCCCTTCCGGCAATCGTACAACTGCGCACTGAAACAACCTGTTGCTGATTCTAGTGCAAGCATGTCAGTCCTGCTCACTTTGGTTGATCGTCTTTTGGTAAGTTTGTGGGGTTGCGCTGTGATCCTTCCACATGCGTTCTGGGTTGAGGCATTCTTTTGTCGTTTACTCTGAGCAGGAATACGCACACTGCAGTCCAGATCGACGAATGTCCCAGTGTCGTATTGTGGCCTTACCTTTGTGTTGACTTGTTGTTTTAGGCTTCTGGGATTTCGTCGCGACCAGCTACCATTTAAGTCCCCCGCTGAGCTGTCATTGGCGTGCCATGTGGGTGACAAAAAACCGGGACTAGGACTAGGAGCAGGACTAGGACTATTATGAATGTTGCTATTGCTATGACTGTTACTATCGTTCTTATTATTACTGCTACTGCTACTACCACCCACTACCACTACCACTACCCCTACCCTTCTACCGCTTGGGACTTGAAATGCAACTCTGGTGAGACTGAGTGTATATAGACATGGGTGTGTTTTGCGTGTTTGACCTTGAAGTTAGTGCATGCTAGTGGGGTGTATAGATGTTTGCGGACCGGTACTGACTGTCGTATTGTGTGGCCTTAACTTTGTGTTCTCGTTGTTTTGATAAAGGCCAGTACTGCTCCAGTTGTTGAGGAATTCACTGAATGCATTCCCAGTCGTCGTCGCTCTCATAGAGCCCCGCGGAGCTGGCATAGCCATGCTAGGTGGGTGACAAAAACCATTACCCCTACCACTGCTACTACCACTACCACTGCCGCCACCACCACCACCACCACCACCACTACTACTACTGCTTTCTACTACTCCCAGTACTGCTACTGCTGTACTCTGGTAGTATTACAGCTCGTCTAGCTCGAGCAGCGACAGCGACAGCAGCTGAGAAAAGCATCGGTTTCCCGAATGACGGATGATGAAGGAATATTCATATATGCTCTCGGGTCCCGGGCCCCCACCCCCCCCCCCCCGTGGCCGGCTTAAATAGGGTTTATTTGGAAGCTGTCACTCGGGTTTTGGAGTAGTCACAGGCTCTCCAAGGAAGCCCCAGCCCCGGCTCCAGTCCTGGCCCCAGGCTCGGCCCCAGTCCCGACCCCAGTCTCACAGGGAGGGGCGCAAATTCGTGGATGACTTTGTAATCTTCACTACAACCTGCGTATAATACATGGATAGGCAACTCGCTTCCAGACGACCCATGTATCCGACTTGGCCGGTGAGAGAGCACTATTCCATGCATCATGTCGGCTCACACGAAAAAAAACCACCCGGAATACGAAACCTACAGAGGGGCGGCCCAGACAAGCGTACAAAAGTGTGGCAGGCGCAGCCAAAGAGTGTGCTTCGACCTTTCCCAGCGATCATGTGGCAGGAGAAAAACCAAACACGAATTCGTGTCCAGTTGTTTTGGACGTCCTAGCGGACCATCAGTGCTATCATCATCGATATCAACATCGTTATCACCATCGCAGTCACTATCGATAGCGCCATCATTTTCACCATTCTCGTCATCATCGTTATCATCAGCGTCAGCAATCTGCTGAGCAGTCGACTTTTTGTGTGCAAGGAAAAGCCGGCCTGAATTTATTCTGTGGACCTGGGCGGCTAAGCTAGTATTGCAGCAGAATGCGAGAACACTAGTGGGGCCGATGACTTTCAAGGTCGCGGCCAGTTTGGCGAGGTTTGTGAGTGGAAAGTGCAAAAGGTCTCGGCACAGTCACCTTTACCAGATTGCCATGTCGTCATCATTGCTATTGTGAGTACTATCATCATCGTCATCATCATCGTTATCATCATCGCCATCTCCCAGTGAAAGATATCACATCGGAAGAAGCCAGTCGCGGATGTTTTCGTAGCCTTTCATGCAGAAGTCCGCGGTGCACGACTACACCTCCTTGGACCGGCGACCAGGGCGAATCACCGGACTGAGGTTCCTCAGTCGAAACGGTGTTCGCCGGGTTGGCTTGCTTCGCGGCAAGCGCGGAGCCTTCGGCTTGCTGCTGGAAGCACGAGCCTCGGGCAAGGAAGCAGTCGCTTTGTCTCGAAGTGCGACACGGACACGTCGTCCTTGCTTCAAAACATGCAGAGCAGCTCTTGCCGGCGTGGCACCGGGAGCCTTAAGCTGCCGACACCACGTCCGCCAGGCAGCTTGCGGTAGCATGAAACGAACATTAGCTTTCATTGCCCGTGATGCTATCTCGGACTGATCTGCTTGCCTCTGGAGAGGCCTGTACAAGGCCTGATTGTGCGTGAACAGTTTCACAAAGTGAAACAAATTCAGCTTCATCCCGAAAGTGGATTTGTGCAAAGCCGCCTCGGGGTGATTAGCAGACACAGGAAGCATGCCCTGCGTCGGAAAGGCACATGTTCGTTGCAGCCGAGCAGCAGTCTCTCGGAACCAATGATTGATCTCGTGATGGAGACTTTCATTGGAGGTGGTGCCGCTTGGTAGGAGCGTTAGTTCACCTGGATGTACGGCATGTCGGTGGCGAGTATCGTTGAACAACCACTGGACCTTGACTGCGGACGCCACGTTGATGATGAGGCGATGCAGCGAAGCACCAGAGTAAGTAGTTTTACTGACCTCGTCAGCGAACAGCGACAGATGGGCCACGCATGCTTCGAGGAAGTCAATCTCCGTCAGCCACGGCGTGTCTGGATTCAACTTCTCCAGCAAGTTGTGCGCCTGAGCGTGTGACATGTCCGGTTTCTCCAGTCGGAGTCGCATGCAGCGAACGTCCACACTGGCAGGTGGCAGCGACTGCCCAGTGTAGAACGGTCCCCAGGCTGCTGCTGTGCGGGCCGCATCTCGCTTGCGGAACTTGTCCATGATGACGGCGAGCCACCGACTGCCATGAGTTTTCTTGTTACTCATGTTCTGCTGGTACACCATGATAATATGCATGGCGTCCAGGGCAATGCTCTCCAGATGGGGCAACACTTGTCTGAGGACGCGGAACATCTCCGGTGACGGATTATCAGAAGCCACATGCTGCACCTGGGTCCTCTGCTGAAGAGAAAGCTCGTTTGCCAAGGCATCGGCGATGACACTAGCCTTCTCGGAGCGAACCATGGCAACCAAAAGAGCGGCGCCAGTTCGACCTCGGCAGGTCAAGGTGCGATACGCAGCCTCGGCTTCTGGAATGGCAGCATCATCCCGCAGTGATTGCGAGGAGTGGAAATTTGCCTGGCCGATGATTTTGAGATTCACCTTGAAGGTCGCATCAATGCTGAGGTAGCGAAACTCATTATGGTCACGACACTCTTGAAGCAGGGCATCACGGTACTTCAGGACAGGCGGGGCATTCATCAAGTCCTCGAATACGTTGATCCAGAATGAATTCGTTGACCGCGGAAGCAAAGAGGAGAGTTCACCATCGTGGCGCTTGCAGCACCGCAGAAAGGAGCAACAGATTTTATGCAGCGAGCCGTTCGCTGCTGCTGCGGCTTCCAAAAATGCACACGCAAAGGCATGCGTGTAGTAAAGGTTGCCGACGCGTCTCAAGTCATGCCTCTTTTTGATGGTATGCAAGGCCATGATGATGGGACCGTCCTTGTCAAACACGTACCTCACGAAGCTGTCGATCTCGACGACCTTCGTGGGCACGGGAGGTTTGACATCCAAGCGCATGACAGCTGCGGCTCTGCTAAGAAAGTACGGC